TATTTAGTACTTGGAATAATGTCAGTTTTTCAATTTCTCCAAATAATTTTTTGGCAACCTTTTGGTATAACAATGATGCTTCAAAGATAGTCAGGTTCCAGATTTTAAAATACAGTTCAATAAAATATTAACTCATTGCCCAGACACCTTCTTGAGGGAAAGAGACAGTCTAAAATCATGAAATATAAATAAATAAAATCAATCAATAAACAATATCTTGATCCCTGTGGGATTTCCATGTAAATATTATATGAAATATAACACACACACACACACACACACACACAATCACCCCCACCCACCCCCAACACACACACTTGTAATTTTTTTTACATCTCCAGCAAAGAAAATTATATTTTATTTGTGGACTTCTATAAACTTGAAATAAAGTTTTAATCAATTGTAATCTCAAATCTATTGAAACCAGTTTAAGGTTTTTGAAGAACTTGCAACTCCTGATATAACATTATCAGATATTCCAATTATTTAGTCCTTAAATCCTAGAGATGTCAACTTTCAAACGTTTTAGTAAAGAGTTTTAGTTGCAGACTAAGTTTAGTCATGGACTTCATCAAATAAGAAAGTGTCTTAGGTATCCTTAAAGTGGCTGAGATGATTGGTCAACTTTTTATTTTGCTAATTTACCGGACATTAGAAAGTAGTTTATAAAGTTTGTCTCAGTGAACTGTTGCAATGATTGCAAAATATCCACCAAGAGATACATGAACAAGGACAATGGGTTGTATTAACTACAAATAAATAGAGAGGCATTCTCATTCTTAAACACAAACATGAAGTTTCCTCCATTTTTAGTACAAAGTAAGAGAAAAGTCTGGAATCTCTTTTGATGAATTAAGCTACCTTACAATGTATAGCAAAGTAGAATGTTCCAGAGATAATCAATATAAGTCTAGTAATCAAAGGTTCCCCTGCTGAGATGATAAATCCCAGCAGATATAAATTACATTATTCCCACAGAATAGAATGATCCTCCTATATTTACATTATTCTCAGTCACAATCCTGGAATAACCGGGACTGGAATAATCTGATGTCTATGGGAAGAAAAGCATATAGGAATCACTTTATTTGTGCACTTTCTCCTATTAAATAGGGTGGCATAGTTATGTTCCTGCCTTCCCAGTACTGGTACAGTCGCCTGGTCTCCCCCCCTCCCCCCGCCCCCTCGGTCACCACTCTCTCTCTCGCCCTATCCGCCTTCACCACCACCAACTCCCAGGTCCGTTTTCTTTAAATGAGCTTTGTGTGTGTGTTTTTCCCAAAGGCTTCAGGGGTGCCTATCCACACCCACACGTTTTTCCCAGACACTGCAGTGGAACAAGAGAGGAGGGAGAGAAAGAGGAAGGGGCAGTTGTCCTTTATAAGGCTTGCACATGAGGAAGGAGAAGCCGCTTCTCTCACCCAAACCGGTTGGTCTGTTAATTTGAAAATGAGCAATGAAAGAGAAGCACATTTCTGTACATAGCAGAAAGGAAAGGAAAGGAAAACATTGAGAAATGTTGAGGAGTTGAGGTGTTTGTGTGTGAGTCAGAATTCCAGACCGGAAAGACTGTTTTGTATTCCAGTTAAATTAGAACTGGTTCTTTGTGAAGGATCTGTGAGAATTTTGAACTATTGCAATAAGGCACAAGAAAAAAAATGAAGCAGAAAGATTTAATTAGAGGAGAAGAGAAAGAATGGTAAAACATCCACTAAAAGCACTAAATGCCTTTCTAATGTGTTTTCAATTGTAAGATTGGAAATATTTGATTGACTGTATGCTTTAATGTTGAAAAAGAATAATCTTTATCAGTATAAACAGAGGTGTATTCTTCAAGCTTTAATGCAGTTTGCAAAAATCATTGTAGTAAACTGAATATCACTGCAAACATCATTTCTCACCAAAAATGCAATTTAATGGAGAGTAAAGTAAGATTTTACACAGGCAAGAAAATATTTCCAATCTTACAATTGAAAACACATTAGAAAGGCCTTTAGTGCCTTTAGTGGATATTTTACCATTCTTTCTCTTCTCCTTTAATTAAATCTTTCTGCTTTATTTTTTTTCTTAGGTCTTATTGCAATATTTCAAAATTTTCACAGATCCTTCACAAAGAACCAGTTCTAATTTAACTGGAATACAAAACAATCTTTCCAGTCTGGAATTCCATGACTCACACACTGACCCCTCAGCTCCTCAACACTTCTCAGTGTTTTTGTTAGATCGGGTAAAGGAGGCACACATGGCTTCAGTAACAACAGCTCTTCATTGCAAGTCAAGTAAACATCTGGCTGGGGAATGGTCGGGCAGCATCCCTTTTTAATGGGATCTGTCAGACCTCTTGACCAATGGGATTCAACCTCTGTTCCCGCC